ACGCCCCACCCGCCCCAACGCGCGTGCAGATGGACCTGGCGATGACCGGTCTCTAGTTCAGTGCGCAGGGTGAGCACGAGCCAAGGGGTTGTGGACCGGGCCGGGCAGACTCCGCCCTCCGCCTCCTGTACGCGGAAGCGGCGATGGCTCTCACTGGGCGGGTGGAAGTGAACTCGGGGTCGTGCGTGAGGAAGTGGTCATGGAAGTGCTCGTATTGAACATGGTGTCGTGTGGACGTAGTTGAGGGGGAGGCGGAAGTTGAACCGGTAGTGACCGGAAGTGGGCATGGGGTGGCGGAAGTGAATTCGGGGCCGTATGCGTGTGGAAGTGAACATGGTGTCGTGCGTGCGGAAGTAGTCGCGGAGGAACCGGAAGTGAGCGCGGTAGTGACCGGGAGTGTCTTCCAGGATGGCCGTGCCGGACAAGGAGCGGCGGCAGAAGTGCTGGGACGCTCGGGACGCGTACTGGAAGTGTCTGGACGACGGGAGTGGCGAGCGCGACCAACGTGAGGACGCATGCAAGCAGCTCAAGCAATTGCTCAGCGACTCCTGCCCGCCTGTCTGGGTGAGTTAACAACTACTTGCCTCTTCGGCAGTGTCAAAATTTTGGATGTCACTTTCATTACATTCTTGTATTAAAATTAGACAAATCTATGGCGATTAAAATGCTAAAATCTTGGACTTTTAATTTGCCTTCTTTTACAAAATTGATTCAATTTATTGTCAAAATGCCAAATGTGTAAACCAGGTGTGAAACTTGCCAGTGCCTTAGCGAAAGGTCGCCGAGTGTTATTTTGGCAATTGTGATTGAGAAAGTATGTGTTGGAATCAGAACCAAAAATCGATTCTATGGATAATTTTCAATGCCTCGCAATATCCATCGGTCACAATGCCAAACAGCACAGAGAGCCACCGATCGAAACAGCACGTTTGGCCTTTATTCGCGTACATCCCTGTGGACGCGTTGTCAGGCAGTCAAGCTGCTTTCTGTTTTGGACTACCGAAAAAAAGATTTCTCTTTTAAATAAGTCTGTTTAGCGTGTTGCCGCCACGTTTGCCATCGTTTGTTTGGGTTGCAGGTGAAACACTTCGACCGGCGGTACGACTACCTGAAGTACAAAGAGAAGATAGAGAAGCACGGGTACGAGCAACCGCACGGGGTTAACAGCCAAATGTAACGCACTAACAACCTGACTGCAGCAGTCTGCAGTCCGCGGCCGTGTTCAGTGAGGTGATGACAGTCTGAGAACAATCTGCTCTGCTCGCCTTCGCGATACCGCTGCTTCTAGTGTGATGCAAGAACTTTGGGGGGAATACCAAAAGCAAAGCTGCCATCAAACTGTGTTGTAAATTTACTGTATTGTATGTTTAGTAGAATGGATGTAATAAACTACGTGTGTTTCATGTCTGTGTTGTATGGAATTCCCTCGGTAAATGAGCTGCCTGTCGGGTGAGACATTACATGCTTTGTCATTAATAATACACCTGAAAAATACCGCGTTCCACAGGGTGACCAACTGGCCGACAGCATAATTTTGATGTCAGAAAGACGCCATTTTTCCTTGCCAGTTTTTGACATATCAATCGATGTTTTCTGTTTGGTTGGATATCTCAGCCAAAATGAGTCATTGAATGTTTCTTCGTCACTTTATCATGCTCTAATTTATAATTCCTTCCTTTGCCCTGCTTGGGGATTTCATGAAGAGAAAGGGTGCACACATCATACGCCATATCTGCAAAAGCACAGTAAGATCAGACCAACAACAAAACGAAAAATCCTGTAGGGTCAGGAAGGGGAAGATTAAGAATGAGACATTAACTTCGTTGATCTAGTTTTCAAGCTTTTTGACATAAAACGCACATGCTGGAGTGTTCTTAATATTACTCCTTTGACACATGACTTTAATTATTAACCGCGTTTGACGAGTCATCATTCTCCAGACTAAAAGTTGGGTTTTCGCTGGTTTTCGGCTATCTCATTCTTTTCCACGGGCGTGTGTCATTTTCGCTCGCAGATTGCACGAAGAAGGAAAGGCGCACACTATCTCGTTTTCCTCCACACAGCAGATATTGCTTCATGAAAATTACGGCGTGATTTCGTTCTTGGGACTGTTTTATTGTTTACTTGTCAAATGGTTAGTATGCTTGAAAAGACCAAAGTACGCGAAATGTCTCATAATTCTTTCCCGCCCTGAGCCTACTGAAAGGTTGGTGTGTGGTGTGAGGGAGGGCCGAGGGCACAACGTAACATTGTGATTGCTGCTCTCTGCTACCACTAGACACTCCCCCGGTAGAGTTTCCCCCAGTAGAGTTTCCCCCGGTAGAGTCTCCCTCCCTCGGCAGACTCTCCCTCCTCGGTAACCTCACGCCCGGTCCGCCCACCCGCGCGCGCATGTGGCGAGTAATTTTAGTCGTACTGCATGGACGGGCTGTAAGTCACGGAGTGATGTGGTGACGTCTCGTTAGTGAGTCCGCTCTGCCCGTCCCGGCCGTCCCGGCACCCGCTTGGCAAGGGTGAGGCGCGAGATGAAAAGTGTGTGGGGCACGGCCAGTGTCAGAGCAGGGGCCAGGCGGGCCAGGCGCTGCAAGTCTGCTGGCGGCAGAAATGTTGTTACGGAATCCGTGCGACAAACGGATTTAGAACCAGAAAAATTCTAACGCTAACGCGTTAATCGGCCCCTGAAGTTTTAACGAACAATCGTATGTATACGAAGAAATAGTCATTTAATTAATCACTTCAATAGCTTCAGCGTTCAAAATTAGAAGAGAGGGAAGTCGTCAAAACTTGATGGTTAGTGTTGTGGCTCTTCGTTCTGAAGTCACCACAATAACAAAACCAACAGCGAGGCAAGCGCCTTATAGAAACTAC